GGCTGCGGCTAGCTGGCAATGCTGCGTCCTAACCCGCTGTGTCACCAGGGAGGGCCCAGAAATGTATGGGTTTTTATAAAATACTTCATTCCCCAGAGTGACAAAGATTTTTTTGAGCAGGTCTATTTTTTCTGACAAGGTTTAGCAATGCTGAAACCTTCTTAGTTGAAGAGTGGGTCACATAAGCACACTAGAAATATTAAAGTTTAACTTAAATGCTATGATACTGAGTTAAAAGACCAAATAAACAGTTCTTAAGATGTGTTTCTTTGACTTTAAATATTTTCTTTTCCTTTTCCATTTTTATAATACTTTATTAGAAGTATTATTACATTAAACCATTTTTCACATTTACTTATATATTTATTTTTGTTTTGTTTTAATAATATAGTTTATTTTTACATAATATTGTGACTTTTTCCACCTCAGTTCTAATTCCGTGGGCTTGCCATCACCATATCACCCCTGTGCCATCACCGTAGTCCAGTGCACTTTCCTGCCCCCACCGTTTTTTATCCCACTCCCTATTCCACTCCCATAAAATGCTTCTGGTATATAGTTGTTCATTATTATTATTTTCTCACCTAGCCCTTTATACGCCTGCTATGAGTGAAACCATCTGGTATTTTTCCTTTTTGTTCTGGCTTATTTCACAAAGCGTGATCTTTTCTAGCTCCATCCATTTGCTGCAAAAAGCATGTGGTTTTTCTTTTTGGTTGCTGAGTAATATTCCATTGTGTGTATGTACCACACCTTTTTGATCCAGTCATCTACTTTTGGGCATTTGGGCTGTTTCCATGTCTTTCCAATTGTAAATAGAGCAGCAATAAATGTGCAGTTGTCTTTTTGAATCAGTGTTTTTGTGTCTTTTGAGTAGATACCTAGGAGTGGGATTGCTGGGTCATAGGGAAGCTACGTTTTTAGCAGTTTGAGAAATCTCCGGTTTTCCATAGTGGTTGTACTAGTTTGCATTGCCACTAGCAGTGTAGGAGAGTTCCTTTTTCTCCACATCCTCGCCAACATTTTGTTATTGCTAGTTGTTTTAAGATGTGCCATTCTTTAAAAAGAAAAATAATACAATAGTTAATTTTTACATCATTTTTTGCATTTTTTCATCTCAGTTGTAATCCCCGTGGGCTTCCCATCACCAAATCACCCATGTGCCATCACCATAGTCCAATACATTTTCCTCCCCCCACTGTTTTTGATCCCATTCCCCACTGCACCCCCCAGAAAATGTCTCTGGTATATAGCTGTTCATTATTATTATTATTTTATCTCCCGGGACATCCATTATATCCTTCTGTGAGTGACACCATCCGGTAGTTTTCCTTTTCTTTCTGGCTTGTTGCACTAAGCATGATCCCTTCCAGCTCCATCCATGTTGCTGCAAAAGGCATGTGTTTATCCTTTTTGGTTGCTGAGTAATATTCCATTGTGCATATGTACCACATCTTCTTAATCCAGCCATCTACTTTTGGGCATTTGGGCTGTTTCCATGTCTTTCCAAATGTAAATAAAGCAGCAATAAACATGGGGGTGCAGGTGTCTTTTTGAATCAGTGTTTTTGTTTCTAGGTCTTTAATCCACTTTGAGTTGATTTTTGTGAATGGAGTGAAGTAGTGATCTAGTTTCATTTTTTTTTGCATGTAGCTTCCCAGTTTTCCCAGCACCATTTGCTCAACAAACTTTCTTTGTTCCACTGTATCTTCTTTGCTCCTTTGTCAAAGATAAGCTGTCCATAAACCTGTGTGTTTATATCTGGGTTTTCCTATTCAAATCCACTGGTCTCGTGTCTGTTCTTATTCCAGTACCATGCAGTAATGACACTATTTTTTAAAACACTCATTTTTCTTTACTTGTATTTAGATTTATAACACCCTAGTTTTTTTAATAGATTGTCAAATATTGAAGTAATTTTTATGCTTTCATCTCTTGGTACTGAAATTTAAAACATGTTTTAAATTTTTCCTATCAGGTATTTCACATCAAAAGTTTAGCTACCATACAATAAGGAGCAAAAAGTAAACATGAAAGTTAAGTGATTTTAGATGCACAGTCAGAGGGGACCAGGAAATGTTTCAAGAGAGGACAACATTCCTGACCCAACAGAGACCCTGCTGAGGGGAGCAGAGGGCTGGTCAGGAGTGGTCTGCTGCACCGTGTGGATCACCTGGGGCTGGGGATCGAACTTGCACTGAAGTAGCTGCAGCTAGCTTGTGGAGCTATGTCCTAGCCCATTGCAACACCAAGGAGGACCAATGTTTGCTTTTCTTTCCTCAGATGTAGTCCCTAAAATATTCCCATCACCAGTTCACCCCTGCATCATCACCATAGGCCCTCGTGCTCTTCCCACTCTTGTTCTGATTCCTCTCCTTCCCCCTCTCCTGTAAAATAACTGAATTATCCTTTAGTGTCTGTTTTGTTGCTGTTGTTTTTTGCGATCCCATATTTGGTTAACCTATATTGCTCCTGTCAGTGAAACCATCAGGTATTTTTCTTCTTCCTTCTGACTTATTTCACTGAGCAAATCCCTTCTAGCTCTGTGTTTCTGTGAATGGCATTAGTTTACATTTTTGATTGCTGAATAGTATTCCATTGTATATATAGACCATATCTCCTTGATCTAATTATCTCCTTGTTCTCTTTAGACATTGCTGGTTGAAATGTCTCTGTTGCTCAGGCCCTTTAAGAAAGACAGAGATTTACATTAGTTTCCCAGGTTCCTTGTGTTTCAATTGGTCTCACTGAGGACAAAGGCAGCTTCCCTGTCAGCTGCCATTAGTCTTTCCCCTTAGTCTCCCCTTAGCATTTCACCTCCTGCCTCAGCTGTGGCATAAGAATTGACACTTGACCCTCCCTCCTTAGGCCGGGATTTCTCTGCTATCTAACCTATGAGCTGGCCAGGCAGCATTTCAGAAGAAGGTGAGGACACAGTCCAGGTGTGAGTAGGAGTGGAGGGCCCCATTGCCCACCTGGAAGAGAAGGAGAAAAGCACCCCCTTTATGTCATCTCTGACCTGTAGCCAAAGGCACCCCTTTGGGGTCTCAGAATTGTGTGGAAGGTGACCTGCACCCAGGAGTGGGAGGGGAGAGTCCCGTGGATGAGTCGCCCCCACCTGAGCCCCACAGGCCCTCGTCCTGTCCTGCTCCTCCCCGTGGGTCTGAGCATGCAGGTGGCGCCTGCCTGGGGGATGGTCTCCCAGGCTGTGATGCTGCAGGACATGAGGAGGCCTGTTCTGCCCTCAGGGTATTTGTGGGAACATACTGGAGGGCTAGGGACACCAAGGGGGTCAAGGGGACCATTGGGGGGACAGACAATCTGTGAGGACAGACTCTGGGGCCGGCCAGGACCAGGATACTGTCAAGGGTTATGTTCCACATGGGATGTGGGGGAGGAGAGTGGGGCTCAGGATTGGGACAGATTTAAGAGTCACGGATTATTGAAGCAAAACCATGACCACAAGTCACGGACGTGGACAGAGATCCTCTGTCCAGTGTAAAGAGCTGTGGGGTCCTGGATAGGAGGCTCAGGAAAGCAGGGAAGGATCTTTTCAACCCTGAGAGAAAGAATATGGAGACAAAACAAACTTCCTAGGAGCTTCACTGAGATCAAAGCACAGAGCACAGAGGAAATGATGTGGAAGGACCCCTCACTGCTCTCTGTACATGGGGTGTTTTGTTTCCATTTAGGCCCAGAAACCTGGACACCCGTTTACACCACACTGTCAGTGAGGAGCCTCCATGGATTTAATACTGACCTCTGCTTTGGCCCAAGGAGGCAAACGGCCCTCAAACAAGGGGACGCAATCTCAATACTTCTGATGGTCATTTCAGCTGGAACTTAGGGAATGGCTTCACCGCCCCACCACTTCACAGAGGTATGTACTTTGCATGCTGTTATGTGAGATGATTTTTATGTCTTCACAAATTTAATAAAAGTTGATGATTTGAAGTTAAGGCTATAATGTTTCTGGCCTGTTTGTTTTCTATTAGTAACTTCCTATATATATTGTTAAAGTAGTGTCATATAAAGGGATTGATGTGGTTTGGGTGATTATATACATTTTAATTATAAAGTGTAATTAATTATTTCCTTCTCTTTCTTTTTTAAAAGATTAATATTTACTTATGCATAGAAGTGCTGGGGTGTAGGCCAGAAGGGGTATGAGGATTCACCAGAGACAGAGTGGGGTGCAGAACAAAGGGATCTACTGAAATACACCCCTGAGGGGAGCAGCGGGTAGGACAGGAGAGGTCTCCTGGGCCATGTGGTCCAGTGTGGGTCTGCTAATCCTAGGTGGTTAAAGAAAATCAACAGACAATTGACAGCTGATAGTAATTTTTCCTTGATCAAACGAGCTCTCAAAGAAAACCTGAGTTAATTATGAAAAATCGAGTGCTGTCACCACTTGACAACACGCAATACTCATTTTTCTTTTGGGATTTGTGATTAAAAAATAAAACACATTCTCTCTGATCATTTGATTGCAGTGTAACACTAAATACCTATGTAACTTCAGAGACAATGCATTACCTAAAAAAAAAAATCATACTGTACCTCAAGTTCCAGCCAATAGGCAAAAGAGGGCTATGGAAATGCAGCAGGAGATATTCCATGGAATTATCACAGGTTCCCTTGGCCAATAAGTCTCCAGAAACTCCCACCTGGGTACCTTTAATTTAGTATCAAAGTGGAATATTCACAGTTATCTGAAAACACTGCTGCTTCCTCCATCTCCCCAGGCTGCCGCTCCAGCCCAAATCCACTCCTCTTTAGGATGGGGAGGGAATGTGGATCCCCCTTTCTGTGGGGGCCTCTGGTAGAGCTTCGTGTCCCCTCTCACGATCTGTGGGGTGCAGCCTGGATAACCCACACTCACCCCATTCTCATTCCCCGTGTTCTGGGGTTTCCAGGGAACACTCAGGGTCATTGCTGCTCCATGACAGTCTCCACCAGCTCTCCTGGACTCACTCTCCCCAGACCCCAGGACGGGTGTGATGCCCCCCACCCTCCTTTTGCTGCTCTGGGGGTCCCTGGCCCTGATGGAGACCTGGGCAGGTGAGTGCAGGGTCCAGATGAAACAGATGCTCCAGGAGGGAGGAGCAAGGACCCCACTGTGGGTGCCGACCCCAGGAAAGGCTCATCTCCTCTCTAGACTCTTGTACCCCCTCAGGCAGGCTGTGCTCTGGCCTTCTGCTCCTTTCCACCTCCCCTGATGCTCTGGTCCCCCTGAGGCTGGGTCCCTCCTTGGGCTCTTTTCACTATTAGGAGGCCCCACTCTCTGGGACCTGGGCCTCTTCTGAGAGGCGGGACAGCCTGGGTGTTCCCCACACCCCAGCCTCCACCATCTCATCCCCAGGTTTCCATTCCCTGAGGTATCACTCTACTGCCATATCTTGGCCTGGCCTCGGGGTGCCCCATATCATCGCTGTGGGCTACGTGGACGACAGGCAGTTCGGGCGATTCGACAGCGACTCTCAGGGTCAGAGCCCAGAGCTGCTGGCGCCCTGGGCGGGGCAGGTGGGGCAGGAGGATCTGGACCAGGAGACCCGGATCCAAAGGGACGAGGCTCAGTGGTTCAAAGCGCTGCTGCGGGACCTGCTCGGTCTCTACAACCAGAGCGAGGATGGTGAGCTACCCGGAGCTGGGGAGTTGGCCGGGGTGAGGTCACCACCCCCAATTCTACCCTAAGGCTGGGGGTGTCCCCAGTCTCAGTGCTCCACCGACCCCTTAAGGCTGGTGGACTGCCAGGCCGCTCCCCCGGGAAGAGCCCCGGGACCTTCCCGCCTGTTCATGTTCAATTCAGGTTGATTCAGAGGGAGAGGGTGGGTGTCCCTGGGTGACCGCGGGGCTGACACGGGGGTTCAGGGTCTCACACCCTCCAGAGGATGTTTGGCTGCGAGGTGGGGCCAGACGGGAGCCTCCTCCGCGGGTACGAGCAGTTCGCCTACGATGGCGCCGATTACATCGCCCTGAACCCGGACCTGCGCTCCTGGACCCTGGCGGACCCGGTGGCCCAGATCACCCAGCGCCAGTGGGAGGCATCGGCGAGGGCGGAGCGCATCAGGGACTGTGTGCAGGGCAGGTGCCTGAGGTGGCTCCGCAGACTCCTGGAGATGGGGAAGGAGGTGCTGCAGCGCACAGGTAAGGGGGTTCAAGGCCTCGGACTCCCCTCATCCTGGACCCCACAGAGAAATGGGATTATGGGCAGAACAGCGCCTGCTTTCTGGTCAGAGAGGAGGGGCCCCTGGGTGTCATATTCTGTAGTGGAGAGACTCAGCCGGAAAACACTGCTTTTCTGGACAGTTAAGGAGTCTGGTCTCTCCTGATGGGGGGAGGCCATGCCTGAGATCGCCCTTCACTGCATGATTTGAACCGGCACCATCCTGAGAACCACGAGTTTCTCTCTCAAGGTTGTGTCATTGATCTGAAAACAGTTTTGGGCCTGACTCTGCCTTTCTGTGTCACTCACTCCCGCCCAGGTCAGGAGCAGAATCTGTGTCCTCCTTAGAGACCTGCACGCTCCCACCCTGGGCTCTCATCCCATGATCCCAGATTCCCCAGCCAGGGCTGGGCTCTGGGTTTGTGCTTCCTCCTCCACACCAATGTCATGTCCAGTATGAGGATGGTCACAGCAGGCTGCTGAAGTGTCCATAGAAGACACTGAATAATAACCAAAAATGTGATATTTCTGATTTGTTCCCCTGAGATCCTCCAAAGACACAGCTGACCCACCACCCCACCTCTGACCAGAGCGTCACCCTGAGGTGCTGGGCCCTGAACTTCTACCCTGCGGAGATCACCCTGACCTGGCAGCGAGATGGGGAGAACCTGACCCAGAACATGGAGCTGGTGGACACCAGGCCTGGGGGCAATGGAACCTTCCAGAAGTGGGCAGCTGTGGTGGTGCCTTCTGGAGAGGAGGAGAGATACACGTGCCATGTGCAGCATGAGGGGCTGCCAGAGCCCCGCGTCCTGAGATGGGGTGAGGAGGGAACATGAGCACAGTGGCTGTCCTCAGGGGATCAAGGTCCCTTCTGGCCCCCTCAGAGGGTCAGGATGAGGCCTGGGACTCAGACTCTCCCCTCCCCTTCCCTTCCAGAGCGACCTTCTCAGCCTTCTACTCCCACCAAGGGCCTCATTCCTGGTCTGGTTCTCCTTGGAGCTGTGCTCACTGGGGCTGCTGTGGGTGCAGCTGTGATGTGGATGAAGAAGCGCTCAGGTAGGGAGGGAGTGGGGGATCCTGTCCACTGGGGGCTTTCAAGTCCCAGGGAGAACTTGCTCTGCCTTGTTAATGGGAAGCACCTGCCACACACCTAAAGGGTTACCCAAAGGGTTTTGGTCCAGTCCCCAACCACAATGTCCTTTTTCATTTTCCTAGTCCTGACCTGGAGCTTTAGTCATAGTTCTGGAAACTTCCCTCTGGTCCAGGATTAGAAAATTTCTTTAGGACTTGTGACCTGACTCCTCCCTGGTCTCATCTGATGCCTTTTCCCACAGGGGGACAAGGAGGAAGCTACACTCAGGCTGCAGGTGAGTGTGGTTCAGGGTTTGGTTCCTGAGCCCCTGGGACAGTGTAGATGGAGCCCTGGGGGAGTCACCCCATCAGCCCCTCCTGTGGTCTCCTTTCTTGTGGGTCTGACCAGGTCTGTGTTGTTCTCCCACAGTCAGATACAGTGCCCAGGACCCTGATGTGTCTCTCAGTCCCTAAAGGTGAGATCCTGAAACCTGTGGTTGGAGGGGACTAGAGGATGGACCAGATTATAGGGGAGCTGTGAGTCGGGAATTCTAAGGACAGGTGGGCTATGAAGAATGTCAGCCCTGATCTGATTCCATGCATTTGTTCATGACATTTACTTTTACAATGTGCTGGGGACTAAGTGACGTGATTTTTTCTCATCCACACGTCATGACTTCCAGATGCCCTGGCCTCGCCTGCTGCAGAGGGCACTGCAGGTGTCTGTGGTCTCACTGGCATCAGTGCAGAGATGGGAGATTGGCCCCGCCCTGAGTCCCGCCCCTGCTGTTGCTGTCTTGCACTGAGGGTTTCCTGAGGAACAGTGTCCACTTCCCTGCTGGAAACAACAGTCCAGATGTGAAATTATTTTTCTAATCTTATGAATTGGAGTTGATGAATTAATAAAGAAGTTGCCTAACTTTTGAGGAAAGAATTATAGGGAACAGAAAGTACTGACCAAACTCTAGCTTTGGCTCCATTTTGGGGCCATTTTCTGGGTTATTTTTTCCATGTTTTCATGGCTTTTTTAAGAAACCAAGTTCTGGTGTTAGTAGAGAGAAGGATCATGTAATTTCTCCTCTTGGGTAAGTGCCTGCTGGAATCTGTTTCTTCAGCTGCCCCCAAACCTGCCCTGGTGTCCTTGGCTCTGGGCTGATAAATTATAGTCAAAGTGACACTCACAGTCGGTGGAGAAATCAGACCCATCACCCAGGAGTGTCCTTTCTGAGGTGCTGTGGGCTGTGGTGTGACTGGAAGGAAGGGGGAGGGTCGGGCAGTGCTGTGAGGGAAGCAGAGGCAGCCTTACTGTCACTGTGTGTTGAGGTTGTGTGAAGCCTGTGGCTTGAGGGCACATTACTAAAGATGCTGTCTCCAGACCAGGGAGGTGGGACACTTACTCATTGTTCATTCACTGTGGCTTGCCAGGTGTGCGCCAGGCTGTTCTTCATTGCGGAAACTTCCATGAACTCGAACAGGCCCAACTTGCTGGCTGTGGAGCGTGTGTCCTGGTGGGGAGAGGAGACTGGAGGCTGTGACAGAAAATAAGGGGCGTGTCTGGTTAGAAGGTGTCAGGGCTACCGAAAGGTGACCCCAAGTCAGTCTGAAGCGACCTCCTTAGGAGTCAGTGTGGGCCTCACTTAGGTCACTGTTGAAATACTTGAGGGGCAGTTTGCCCACGAGCACGTCCAGGGAAGCAGTGTCCAGTGCAGACTCCGAGGTAGGAACGTGTCTGTGCGGCTGAGATGAGCAAGGAGGCAGCTGGCCAGGCAGAGGGTGACAGACCTGACTCCACGCAGGCCTCGCACATCTGGGGGGCTTTGACTTTCCTGGGTAAAATGTGGGTTATATGACCTTTCTGGACAGACAGCAACCTATGAGATTTCTCTTTAGAAGCCTCGGTCTGGCTGAGTGCAGAGTCAAGAGTAAAGGGGCTGTGGTGGGAAGATAAATGTAGGAAACCAGTGCTGATTCTGTTATAGGGCTCCCCAAATCTGTTACAGGACAGGGAGAATGAGGCCCCACTAAAGCCCCAAAACCTGCCTGTTCTACGTGGGTTCTGCCATACACTGCAACAAGACAAAACATATAAAACTTTAATGAAAAGGGACTTTAATACAGTGAGTATATAATACAGAAGATAAGAATATAGTTTCTAAATCAAACACCTGAAGTTACCTATCCCCTCATGGGCAAAAGTCAAC